CAAACAATATCAGCTACAAGTAGTCAAATAACACAAGTCTCTACATTGTACTGAAAAAATGTTTACAAATGTACAGATTACTAGAATTACTTATTGAAGACTGCCTTCTCAAACATAGCGGCAAAAGGAGAAGACTGAAAACACAAACATCCTCTTTGCTGAGGTATATTTATCATATGATAAAGGACTGGCAAACCTAAGTCCACAATATATCCTAATATATGTAAAAATGTTGGAAGAGCCTGCTCATCTCTTAATAGTCTGCTGTGGATTGCCAGTTGACAAACACATCAACCCCGACTGACTGCAAGGCAGCAATCACTAAAAAGTGGTGTGTTTCTGCCTAAAAACCTGTATCATTTAACATTAGCAAAATAACATTTAAATAAATGAGCTGCTTGAAGATTAATACAATTTAAAATTTCCTTGGAAAAGCTGATGTTCAAATGACTGCTAAAATGGAAAAATGTTTATCCTTTCCCAAAATATATAATGATGACATAGTTCATCCAACAATTTGGCAAAAGTCTTAGGAAAAACATGATTCTATACCCAAGCCAGCCTATTTGGATAAAACAAATCCTTTTTGAAAATGGTGCAACCATCTCTAAGTGCTCTGTATCAAGGTGTTTTAATTTAACCTCTTAAGGACCAAGATTCAGTTAGCTTGTTTTGTACATAAAGGAACATGATAATGTTAGTAATACAAAAATGTATTCCTAACACTATGGTGCTAGAGTAACACCTTAGGTGACTGCCGACAACCGAATGGAGGAACACTATAGGAACCCAGACCATTTCATCTCATTGAAGTGGTCTGGGTGCAGTGTTCCTATCAGTTTAACCCTGTAATTGTAATTTATGCAATTATTGGTAAACTGCAATAATTACCTTGCAGGGTTAACTCCACCTCTAGCAGCTGTCTACGAGACAGCCACTAGAGGCACTTCCTAGTGGTTAGGAAGTCCAGCATCCTAACTGATGCTGGACGTCCTCACACTTCGCATGAGGACATCCAGCGTAAACTAAAACCCTATGATGAGTCCTAATGTGATCACTGTGCATCCACTCTAGGCCCCCTGCTGGCTGATGGCGGAGGAGGAGCAGAGGCAGAGCCTGACCCTTGAGAGGGGTGGGTGGGGGGGCGAGGGAGAGGGGAACTATAGGCTGCTATATTACTTGGAAGGCAACTTTGTATTCCTAGCACTAACGTTTCCCTTTCCAGGTATTTAAACTTACCTTTTTGCCATTGCTGCGCTGGTCTCCCCGTGGCTGGCCCCACCTCTTTGCCTGAGATAACCAATCTTGATGATCTCAGCCAATCCAATGTTTTCCCATAGGAAAGCACTGGAATGTTATGGTGCATGTGCGGTAAAACGCCACACTGTGCCAATCAACATTTCCTCATACAGATGCATGAATTAATACATCTCTATGGGAGATTTCAGTGGGTTCAAAAATGTAGCGGAGGGTGGAGGAGTTGCCGGCAAAATACTAAAGTAGTTGAAGATCTTTTAACTAAGCTAAGCCTGCTGGTGCAAGGATTAACTCACAAGCTGAGAGCAATTATCAGGGGTTCTCAACCCAGTCCTCAAAGACCCCCGAACTGTCCAGGATTTAGGGATTACCCTGCTGTGTCTAATGTTTTTTTGGGGGGGAGGGAAAACAAACACTTTAGACACAACAGGGTAATCCCTAAATCCTGGACTGGTAGGGGGTCCTTGAGGACTGGGTTGAGAACCCCTGAATCAGCTGATGCTCTTAGCCAGTGCACTAGCCCTGCTTCATTCAGTAGAGATAATGGAGGTTACTGAGCAAGAGCTTGCAGCTCTCACTAAGTTGTAGTGGAGGTGGGGAGAGCACCCCTAGGACTCCTGATAAGAGGTCAAATCGTTCTAAAAGGGTTTTATCTCATACAAAGGGGGGCACCAGGGCTATCCCTGCACCATAGCCACTACAGCGCCCGGAGGTGCTTGGAGTGTACCTTCAAAGAGCATTTTCAGAGAAGCTGAGATATGCATGTAAAAACTATAGGAAGGACCTAATTTGTCTGTATTTCCCTCGAAGTCTGTATGTTAAACAGACGGGGGGCAATTACTTCTTTAATATCATCTGTGTATTTTATTGTCACTGACCTGAATTCAAATCCTAACTGGAATTGCATTAGTTTTGTTGTGTTTTCTCCCTACCAAAACACAACTGTGATTGCAAATTAGTCATTTAGTACTACATTGCAATCATTGCCTGCTGTTTGTAACTATGTATATAGTTTTTTAGATACTTTTATAAACACCAGACAAGTTTTATAATTTAGAAAACATATTTCAAATCACATTGTGCAATTTCACAAGAAACAAAATAATATTATGGCAGCACTGACCACTTGATATTAATTGGCACTGCACTAGCAAAGCTTCCACGGGCATAATTACAGGTATACCAATACAGTTATTCAGACTAAACAGGTTCAATCGTTAAAATAAGTTATGACTAAGGAGTACTGGAAGAAAATACTTTAACAACAATCTCATAAGATACTATAGCAGGATTTCTCAAAACAATTCTTAAAAAGACCACCAAGAGTGTAACAGAACTATTTACTAAAGTGAGAATACAAAGGCAATTTCAAATTTAAGGCCAAAGTAGCAGAATTGGAAGCATAGCTTCCTTAGAAAATTTTCCAGTTTGGCTATTTTGGCCTTAAAGGAACACTATAGTGTCAGAAACACAAACATATATTTCTGACACTATAGTGGCAAAATCACTATTTAGGTGACCGCCCCTATCTGTTCACTTTAAAAAGGTGATTTTACTTTCATTTTCTTCCAGAGCTGCAATGGTCTCACTGTGGCTGGTCCTACCTCGCTCCGCCTCCATGGCTGAGATTATCAAGTTTGAAGATTTTAGCCAATCCAATGGCAAAACGCTGCACTGCACCAATCAGCATCACCTCATTATGATGCATTAAATCAATGCATTTCTAAGGGGAGCCTTCAGCTTCACACTGCAGAGCATGGAGACGCTGAATGCCAATGCTGCACACTCTGACCTAGGAAGCACCTCTAGTGGCCATCTGAGTGACAGCCACTAGAGGTGTTCCTAGGCTGTAATGTAAACACTGCATTTGCACGGAAAAGGCAGTGTTTACATTAAAAACCTGCAGGGACAGAATAGACACCAGAACAACTACATTAAGCTGTTGTTGTTCTGGCGACAATCGTGACCCTTTAAATGTGAAATTCACTTTGTATTTACTTTGAGAATAGAAATTCAAGATTATTTACTAAAGTGATACTTCTTTCAATAGAATTGGCTATCATGGAATACTGGACTATCAGTGATCGTATGAAGGCTATTTTAATGAGCTCTACTATATACAAGGTAGACCTTTACCGTGAGTAGTGAAGCAACGCTAAAATCTAAATCTTTATGTTGTCTTTTTTTAAACATTGTCTAGGGTTTAAGGAAGTTCATATTTAAAAAGCATGAGGAAGAACAATGTAAGATATTGCAGAAGGTAGAGTGGTATACCTAAAGAAAGAAGGGTATTATAAGATATTAAAATGTGAAAGTTTAACACAAAAAGCACTGCACAGCTATATTATTGCACATGACATCACAGCAGCATGTGTGGTGGAAAATATATACACTATTAGAATTTTAGTAAGGGTAATGAGCTGTTAAATGATTGTCAGCGTGTACAATAGTGAATCAGACACAATGGTATGGAATTTGGATGAGGATGGTGTAGGGTGATTTAAGTGACAGAACAAAATACATTTTGTAAATTATGTCACATTGTTGTGCAAATAAGATGGCATGTGCTTCCCTTTGTTTTACTCCTTTTAGCCAATGTAGCTTGTCAGTACTGCAACCTAGCATAACGTAATGGAATCCAACATAGAAAATTAACTCCTTTGATGCCAGGACACCAGACAAAGGATGTTGCCCCAAAATTCCTACATTAGCAATGACTCCCAATATTGAAAACTAACATTTTATAAGCCAAAAGCACACTGCTCCATCAAACTAAACATCAACATGGTCAAATTGATTCTCTACTGGTTTCTCTGCAAAAATGGTACACAGCATACATAGACCAGGATCTATTTTCCTAATTATTGGCTTAGTCAACTCAGAAGACAGACGGAAAAACATAAAATGCCTGAATAATGCACTTGCATTGCATACACAAAAACATAGTACTATATACGCATATATACAAAAAAGGCAGTTTGATTGTTGGTTTACGTTGCAATATACCTTATTTTAAAACAAATACTACATTTGCTATTAAAATTCTCTGTGGTATTTAGATATATCACAAACATCACATATAGTCAAATAATGTCATCTACAAAAAGAACAGTAAACGAAACAGACATACAAGGTATACAAGATGGAACAAAATGCAACAAGAGTGAATTAACTTTTACAGTTTTACTTCTATAAAACAAACAAAATTGACAAAACAAAAACTAAAATAAACAAATTTTAGGTAACATGTCACATGACATTTACACTTAAAACCCCAAATGTAAACAGCGTTTGTAATTTAGAACACTAGCTTTGGGTAAAGTTTTTTTGTTGTTTTCTTCAGAGAAAGGTTATAAAAATAAATAAAAATGTATTCTTTCCTGTAAAATACATTCCCTGCATTTTTCTAGAAATACTTTAGGCTCTGCACAAGATGATGCAGGATATGTGACAATATTTATTATGCTAAGTTAACAAGTTTGCACTTTGTGGTTTGACAAACAGATTTTAGGGTCTCTGGAGCAGTATAATAGTCTATAGGATGACTAATTGGCACTTATTTTGGATCTGAGATGTCATGTGTACCTACAAAGATCTCTCTTGACCACCCCCATAGACTGTAAGAGGGCAGCTGGCTCTGCCTGCCAGAATAGCAGATACAGCTACTGGTATCAATCATCTTGGTCTGGGATCATCAGTAAAGATGCACTATGGGAGAGCATGGGGACTGCAAAGCTGTGTCTGCTAGAACACATATATATCTTGCAACCCCACTAAAATCAAAGACAGGCAGCTACATCTCATGATCTCTTTGCCGCATCAGATGTGTGCATTGGGGATGAGAAATGGACAATTAAAAGGTTTCTCCAGCTTCCATGACCACATCTGCTTTTTGAAGTTTCCATGGAGTAAGGAATCTGGCATTGCAGTGTTTCAGCTTGAAACAATGCATAGTGAGAGTTATTGGCACTTGTGTGCCGGGGGCTAGTTACACCCCACAGCCCAAAAGACTTTAGGAGCCCAGAACCTTGTTCCAGACTGCCCAATGTCAATTCTGTGCATATTTTACATCTGTCGTCAGTGTGCTTTTGCTGCAAGGGGAGTCTTATGCCTCCCTTCCCTACATCCCCACAGAACTCCACACCTGGAGATCCCATCTATTTAATTTTGTTTCAGGCTCACTCCCTATTTCCCCTCCTTTTGACGGCTCAGAGCGCGTGCATGTGCTCTGCGATGGCTAAAATGCGCAATCTAAGGATTCTCTATGAGAAACCTTTGATTGGACAGAGCAACGACAAATGTGATGTCTTGTGGGGTTTATGAAAAACAGAGATTTAAGGTGAGTAAAAACTTATGTTATGCCTAAAGAAACCTAAAGAATAATACCCAATAGAATGCCATTCATTTGTTTTTAGGGGCTGGAGTAACCCTTTAAATCCATTTTGAATGTGTGTAAATGTAAGCATGTCCATATGACCGATATCTGTGAGAAAAAAAAGATAAAAACAAGCTTAGATTTCTCATGTCTTCCCTTGACCCAAAAAGCTATTTTGTATATATTATTTATATTTATGATTTTTTGCTGTTTTTCTTATCTAATGAAAGTATGCAAATATACTTTAAATAAGAAAAAAAATAAGTATAGCTTAGTTCCTATGGATTTAAATATTTGGTAAAACACAATATATATACACATATTTGTGCCCAACAATTTGCATTTCATTGGAGAATTGGTAATTGGTAATATATGTACAATTTTTAAAGAAAACATGAATGAGCAGCTGAACACATTTCTTTTATTTCTTATGGGATTCATATTCAACTGAAAGTTATAACAGAATGGCACAATGAAAACAAAACATGGCAACAAAGAAAATATGAAATGATCCCTGTTCAAAAATCTGCATACCCTTAGTTCATAATACTGTGTATTGCCCCCGTTAGCATCAATGACAACATGCAGTCTTTTGTAATAGTTGTCTATGAAGCCCCTAATTCTTGCAGGTGGTATAGCTGCCCATTCATCTTGGCAAAATGCCTCATGCAAAGTCTTTGGTCATCTAGCATGAACCGCACATTCGAGATCTCCCAAGAGTGGCTCAATGATATTAAGGTCAGGAGACTGTGATGGCCACTCCAGAACCTTCACCTTTTTCTGCTGTAACCACTGGAGGGTCACCTTGGCCTTGTGCTTAGTGCAGAAGAATGTAAATTGGCTGCCAGTATTTTCTGATAACATGCTGCATTCATATTGCCATCAATTTTCTCAAGATTCCCCATGCTTTAGAGCTCACACACACCCAAAAGATCAGTGAGCCACCACCATGCTTCACAGTGGGGATGGTATTCTTTTTACTAGATAGAAAAACAGGAATTTAGGCGCTCACTAGGTTAATCGGGTGAGAGGCAGCAGTAAACCAGCAGGGTTTCCCAATACCTGCTAGTGGTGAACCAAAATATAAGGTAAGTAAGGTGGTGAACCGCACCAAAAGGTGCTCAAAGTGGATGTAATAAAATAATAATTTATACATACACATAGGCAATCTTGATAATGTAACAGGATATGACCCTCAAAGGAGACAAAAATGCAATAGGATAATAGTGCAATGTCATAAAAAGTTAACATGTATGTGAATAAAATACCAGATAAAAGACTAACTCACAATTTGCAGAGCTACTGAGAGCTCTGCTGTATAGCGCCTGGATGGTATAATCCCCGACTTAGGATGTGTGGATATTGGCTGTGTGGAATGTCCAATTCTCAGCAACCATATATGTAGGGGAAAACAGCTCTACAAATTGTGAGTTAGTCTTTTATCTGGTTTTTTATACACATACGTGTTAACTTTTTATGACATATTGCACTATTATCCTATTGTATTTTTTGTCTCCTTTGAGGGTCATATCCTGTTACATTATCAAGATTGCCTATATGTATGTATAAATTATTTTTTTATTACATCCACTTTGAGCACCTTTTGGCACGGTTCACCACCTTACTTATCTTCTATTCTTTTTACTATAGGCCTTGTTGATCCCTCTTCAAATATAGCGCTTATGGCTGTGACCACAAAGATCTATTTTGGTCTTGTCACTCCAAATTACAGTGTGCCAGAAGCTGTGAGACATGTCAAGTGTTTTTCGGGAATATTGTAACCAAGCTTTTTTGTGCCATTGGTGCAGTAAAGGCTTCTTTCTGGCAACTCGACCACGGAGCTCATTTTTGTTCAAGTATCGTCATATTGTGCTCCTTGAAACAACCACACAATCTTTTTCCAGGGCAGCCTGGATTTCTCCTGAGGTTACCTGTGTAATTCCTCTGGCAGTTGTGGCTGAAATCTTTCTTGGTCTACCTGACCTTGGCTTGGTATCAAGAGATCCCCGAATTTTCCACTTCTTAATAAGTGATTGAACAGTAATGACTGGCATTTTCAAGACTTTGGATATCTTTTTGTATCCTTCTACATCTTTATAAAGTTTCATTACCTTGTTACGCAGGTTATTTGACAGTTCTTTTCTGCTCCCCATGGCTCAGTATCAGTGCATCCACATGAGAGCTAACAAACTCATTGACTATTTATATACAGGCACTAATTGCAATTTAAAAAGCCACAGGTGTTGGGAATTAACCTTTAATTGCGGTTTTAACCTGTTTGTGTCACCTTGTGTGTCTGTAACAAGGCCAAACATTCAAGGGTATGTAAACTTTTGATCAGGGCCATTTGGATGACTTCAGTTATCATTATGATTTAAAAAGGAGCAAAACAACTATGTGATAATAAATGACTTCATATGATCACTATCCTTCAAAAAAATACATTTTGTTTGCATGGTCAGTCATATTTTCAAAATCAATGCCAAAATTTTACAATTTCTGCCAGGGTATGCAAACTTTTGAGTTTTGCTCCACTGAGGTAAACGACCAAGCAGTAACAGGTCCAGTTGTCCAACCGCATAACAAGCTTAGTTTATAAAAGTGCAGATTTTTAATGAAATCAGAACTTTTACAAAATTAAAAAAAAAGAAGACAAAGAGGAGTAGACACTATTCACACCTAAAGCACTACAGCAAAATTTAAAGAACACTACTAGTTCCCTAACCACTACTGTAGTGTTAATGGTGCCAAGACTACCCTGGCACTCTCGCAGAGTAATTAGAAGTAGCAGTAAAGCATTTAATATTACTTTACAACTTTACAGAGTGCCTTAAGCACCCACGCTGCATCTGGCTTCTCCTGCTTTTAAGCATGGCTCAATATAGAGAGTCTCATTGGCAGAGGGCTCATTTGAGTGTTTATGGTGTTTAGTGTTCCTTTAAGGGATTAATCCAGACACAGCATGTAACATTTTAAAATGTTCATACTGGTAAAAGTATAGCCAGTTATTTTGTAAAAGAAATCACATTCTCTTACTTTTACATTTGCCACTCCGTTATTACTCTTGGTGTGTCCGGGAAGCAGTCAAAGATTGCAGTTTGCATACAGCTGAATGCACACTAGTGCACATAATCATCTTTCCCCTTACTAATCAGTAGGAGCCACTCACATGTATGTGTAGTACAATCACTGTAAGCCTTTAAAGGATATGACAATACCGTATACGGGTAAAGTGGGTTTCATTCATTTCTACAGAGTAATTACTGCAGATCTGCAACACTACTCATTGGTTTTAATGTCATGTTAGTGATTGGCAGAGACAGTCCAGTCACTTCTTGATTCAAATGGACCTCAGAGGAAACAGAACAATAGCCAAAGAAAACCTAGAAAAGAGACATTCAGAGATGTATCCCTTTATTTAGTCATTTAATAACATTTACATGTTGGATGCCTTATTTATATAATGTATTACAAAATGTGTGGTAAAATCCACCCTGAGGTGTCCCTTTAAGGCAGCCTTCTAACATACCTTACTGTACACCGTGGAACAATATCAGGTAATAAAGTGACTGGGGATATGAGAACTGTATCCCAACATTTTTGGCTGCTAAGGTAAATTCTCCCTTTGTATCAGTTTTGCCCCCTCACGTTAGCAAGACATAGTTTCACTTTAGCAAGATCTAGTTTGCTCTATAATAACTGACAGTGAAGATTTAGCAAATTACTGTTGTAATAATTAAAAGTTTCTAACACCAGAAACTATGTATTTTCCATTCTTTTTCCATATTACAAATATGTAAAGCATTTTTTATGCAACAAAGCTAGAAGGTACATCTTATTCCAAATTAGAAGTTATAATGGCATAAAGAAAAAAAAAACATAGAAAGAAAACAGTGTCATTGTGCAATTTTACTTAGAAATGTGTCGCACCTATACATTTTGTTATTTTTTTTTTAAATACCAGAATATACATAGAGAATGCATTACAGAAGGTGATGGCGCATGCATAAGGCATGGGTACTTCTACACAAAGTTGCTGACAAGATCACACAGTGTTTATAATGGGCAGAAAAAAAAATACAACTTATGTAACTGTATATTTTTACACAAATGTTTTCCAAATGGCCATTACAGTTCATTTGTACTTGCATCTTTAGGAATAAAGATAATTATGCTGACTAGTCCTTATACAATTTGGCTGTGTCTAAAAATGACTCAGACACAAGCTTTTACAAAAGAGTCCTGTGTGAACAAGAAGTGGGCATAGCAAGGGACTGCAATGCCTTGTATAAATAAAAAAATGAAAATGAAATCACCACTGCTATTACAATACAGTGTTGCTGTTCCCTTGCATCTGTGTGCCACAGGCATTTTGGCAAGACAGCAAATTCCTTGGTGAAAAAATAACCAATTGGTTAAAAATGAAGAAGGGGCTGTATTGCAAACATACAGCACTGATGTTCCACAGGTAAATGGGCTATTATGTGCTAATTGTTTATGTATTTTTGGAATTTAAAAAGGTGTGAGATGTCTTCATAAATATAGATCCAGAGGTTACCATTACATTCTAGTTGATTGGTTAAAAAAAAAAAAGGGCAGGGAAAAGTTGGTAAACAATTTAGATTAGATATGTAGAGAAGTCATAAAAAAATACACCCCTCCCACACTCCTCTAGCCCCCCGGCCTCCTCCCTCGTCCCCTCCACCTCTAAATTTACAACATAATGTGTGAGCAGCCAGATATACACACACATGTGCACCAAATATTGGTTCACACAAAGCTAAGACCTGGAAAATGGTAGAAACTATTAACAAGTTTATAAAAAAAAAAAATCCACATGAAGAATAAAAATCACAGAATAGAGCGTTTTAATCTGTAGATTATCTGAAGACAAATCTAGTCCTGAAGTGGCCAAGGCTACTGATACAGACACAGCTTTGGATACATAAACTAGGCCTCTGTTAAACTCCTGCTATGATGTGTAATGACGTCAACCTGCAGTTGATGGATAACATGCAACACAATATAAATACATACAATGAGAGAAAAGTTAGATTTGACAGAGGAGCACAAAGCTCAGGAAAAACCTGAAATCACATGATGGTTTGTGCGCACATATCCATACACAAATCCACAAACACCTGTATAAGTGTAGAGATGCACACATAGTGATGTTTTTTTCCTATCCCACCTGCATTATAATTACATACAATGTGTTTCATGAACATTGGTAAGTTGAATCATGAAGACAAAACACATTCATTTTCTTTGCGTTATTATAAATGTAATAATATAAACCTGTAAGCTGCCTTCCATTAGTGCCTGTTTAGTAAGAGAAGACAGATATATTCCACAGTATTTACAGATCTAAAATCAGTGCTGTGAATTCTTAAAACATAATATCTTCAGTGGCTTCTGGGACGGTCTAAGCTGCGATTCATGTGTGCATTATGTCACCTCACTGGCAGTGTGGTCCAACAGCATGCCATTTGTTTCAGATGCCAAATAATGATATGCTTAGACTAAGATAAGGCAGCATCTTCAACCCCTTAAGGACCAAACTTCTGGAATAAAAGGGAATCATGACATGTCACACGCGTCATGTGTCCTTAAGGGATTAAAAGGCAGAACGATATTTTAGTACAATGAAATCAAACTGAAACACCTCATCACTCAAATAAACCGACTAAATCTCGGGAGAGCCCCTTGTCCCCAAGATGACCTAAAATTCTAACCAACCATCTATATCCAATAAGACCCACTTCTTACAGCAAGAGAGTGCTGCAGGCCTCTTTAGCAGCCAAATGGTTAAGGGTCTCGTACGGCTGGTTACGAATGTTTGTTTTTGGCTTATTGGCTATAAAACTTAAAATATACTAACTAATAGTGAACTTGAACAGTAGTGACATTATTCCTGTATGAATAAAAGCCAACACAAAGGATACTTCATGCTCAGCCTCTGGGGGTCAAGCTTACACTTTTCATCATAAGCCCCAACCTTTTTTCCAGGAAGCTGTGAAATCATGAAATATACTAATAGTGGACATCAGCCTTTTCCCATTACTTCATCCAGTACAAGATGACTGCATTTACACAATGACATGCAGCATCATCGACAGCACTGCCTCTGGCTGCCAACCTTGACTTGGTAAACAGCTGGATGGATTCCTCAAAAGAAGAAAAGGAAAACACACACACACACACACACACACATGCATAAAACGCACAAAGACACATAAAAAACAATTTGCTAACCTCTTAGGTTTTTAGGGTGGATCTGTTTTGTTCGAGGCATGATCCTGCTGCTGGTGCCTGGCTTTTTCTTCTCAAAAATGGAGAGCAGTGCAGGGGAAGAGGAACCTCCATATACCCATCAAGTGCATCAGTTAATCCAGCAGCTGAACAAGGGAAGGAGAAAAAACAACATGAGGGAAGACAAGACTACAGGAGCCTGACTGCACCGGCCCTGGGACTTCACACCCCTCCCACACTCCTCTAGCCCCCCGGCCTCCTCCCTCGTCCCCTCCACCTCTAAATATACAACATAATGTGTGAGCAGCCAGATATACACACACAAAAAAAGATACAGATAAAGACAGAAACAAAAGTGTTCCTGCAAGAATATCATAATACAAAAGAGGGGGTATCAATGGGTAATACTAGATGTGTCTTACAAACACAAACACACACACACAGACAGACACACACACCTCCTTCAGGGCATTGCAAAACAAAACAGCATCATCCTGCACATGAAGATCTTGCTGGCTGCTTGCCTCTGGATCATTCATGGTTTTATGAATCACATGCGATGTGCACATCCCACCAATGTGCCTGCTTTACAAATCAGGAGCCTGCTCGTCCTATTGCAACACTGCAAGCAAGTATAGTGGGGAGGGCGAAGGGAAGAAAGGAGAAAAAGAGGGAGGAGGGAAGGGGTTAGTGAGACCAGGGTGACAGTGGAGAGAAAGGAGAAAGCATAGGAGAGAAGGAGAGTGAGAGAGAGTCACTATGCAAGCCTGTGAATGAGAGCCCTGCATGCAGCAATTCAATAACATGCTCTCTATACGTCCACACATACAAGGGACCCAGGCAAGCTCAGCAGCAGAGAGGTGGGATTACATGTGTTAAAGGGGGAGGACAACAATTATTATTATTATTATTGGCATTTATATAGCGCTAACTTATTCTGCAGTGCTTTACAATGTTATCAAGGGGGTGGGGAAAATAACAATTAAACTAACAATTACAAAATGTAACATGAACAAAAGGTCGATGAGGACTCTGCTCAAATGAGCTTACAGTCTAGAGAATTAGATCATCATTACCACACTGAAATATGACCTTCACACTGCTTGGCGGTTTAATTTGGTATTTTGGCAGAATATTTATTTACAGTCAATCACAGCTCAGCAATAAGGGTTCAAACTGTCACAATACCAAAAAGGCATGCAATGAGATAGCAATAGCATAATGAATTTATCAGCCAATTACATGGCACAGACAAAGGAAAACAAACTATAGGAAAACACACACATACACACAAACACACAAACACAATGATGTGATACAGAACTCACTACAGATTCCAGAGTTATTGCAGGGGTTAAGTGGCATAGAGGTGGCGAGTTAAATGTTTGTGTTGAGAGCAGGCAGAATGCCATGAGCACAGCCTGGCAGCATGAAGGAGGGGATGTTTTCACAAGGATAGGGACAGATAAAGGGTTGGGGGTTTGATCAGCAGGGAGAGCGAGAGTTTATGCAGGTTACATGCACTTGACAGGTCGTAAGGAAAGAAAAGAGGCGATAGAGGATGGTTGGATAATGTGCACCAAAAAAGGGGAAGGAACCAACTGAGAAAAAAATATATGAATGAATCCGGGAGGAGCCTGGGGAAACCCCTGTACAACAGAGCGCCTTGCAGAAACCAGGGAGGATTAGAGTAGAAAGAAGAAAGATAGAATGCTAGCTAATGCTAGTCCCTTTCTCCTTCAGTCAACCAGAAATCGATATATGTGTTATGCACACACAGCTGTTAAAATTATAGATGTTTAGAGAATAGGAAACATAATCATCCCCAATTCTTTTTAATTCATATTATAGAATTGTTTAGGCCTGAAAGGGTTAAGATAAGGGGAGGGGGGACTTCTCATATGAATTTGTAATCTGTATGCATATCGGCTGTTATGAAGAGAAAAACTCATCTAATGAGTACTAAATATGTTACTTCTTTACAAATTTTAATTATGACTGTTTATCCAAATCAAACATGCAGTTCCTAGAAAAACAAGGAAGATGTGATAATTTCCTTGAAAAACTGTGTTGTTCTTTTAATAGGTGGTGCCATACAGTAACATTTAGTAAAATAAATAAAATAATGAGCCTCAGTGACTTCTCCTGAATGTCTCATATAGTGGGCAGTATGACAAATAACCCCTTCTCCCCCACAGAGGTTCTCGTCATTTAAATGCAGTGGTTTGGCCTTCTGGAGCATTGTTAAAGGAGGAAGACCATCAATACACTCATCAAAATGTTCAGATTGCAGACATATTTGAGATTTTCGCATTTACTAAAATTGTTGGTTTCACTATCTAAAATATCCTTATAGAAACATAGAAACATAGAATATGACGGCAGATAAGAACCATTCGGCCCATCTAGTCTGCCCAATTTTCTAAATACTTTCATTAGTCCCTAGCCTGATCTTATAGTTAGGATAGCCTTATGCCTATCCCACGCATGCTTAAACTCCTTTACTGTGTTAACCTCTACCACTTCAGCTGGAAGGCTATTCCATGCATCCACTACCCTCTCAGTAAAGTAATACTTCCTGATATTATTTTTAAACCTTTGTCCCTCTAATTTAAGACTATGTCCTCTTGTTGTGGTAGTTTTTCTTCTTTTAAATATATATAGCTGTCATGGTCTACATTTGGGAAATTAATGGCCAACTGATGTAAAATCTGTGGTTCTTAGGTGTCATGTTTCTGTGGATCTATCCCCCTGTGGTCTTCCTTCCCACTTGCCATTGACACCGGAGAATAAATGCAATATTTTTAGAATTATGCACAGCTAGAATAATTAACAGGATCCACATGCACAGCTGTTTTGTGGCTATCTGTTAGCTGTACTGTGCTCAGGAAGCAGGTCGGCATGTCACTCTACCAAAAACCACCTTCCCATAAATCCATGATGGTTATACGGAATATAGGAATTCATAAAGCACACTAATTAGTGGATCAACCAGGGTGACTGAACTTGCTTGTATAAGTTCATCTAGAACAGTGGTTTCCAACCCAGTCCTTGGGTACCCCCTTACAGTCCAGGATTTGTGGATTACCCGGTTGTGTCTAAAGAGTTTTTAGAAAGAAAGAAAAAAAATCCTCTTTAGACACAGCAGGGAAATCCCTAAATCCTGGACTGTTACAGGGTACTTGAGGACTGGATTGGGAACCCCTGACCTAGAATATAGACAGCAGTAGATAGGATGGAGCAAAAATGGGAATCAGTTACCCTTTAACTTCTATTCTATTCTATTTTACTGAAAAAACAAACAAAAGTACTGACCATTGTGTTCAGGACAGAACAGACCAATGTGCCAGGGTTTTAATAGAGAAGAAGTAACATATTCTATTGTGAGATGCACCAAAGTAATAATTTAAAGTGAACTTTCACTTTCACTTTAAAAGGGACACTCCAGTCACCAATACAACTCTAAGGTGTTTATTTGGTTTTATCCTCAGAATAATTTTCAAAGCAGCCCATACCACTACCATGATGTCATCACATTGGTTTCACTGCAGCAAATCAGTGTCTGAACAGAAATAGGTTTGTCACTCCTTTCCTACAGTCCTCTGGAAAACATAGATGCTCATTAACCAGAGGAATAGTCACAGTAAATGTGCCACATGTGCTGCAATTTTGTTGACAGAGTAGGAGATCTATTTATAGGAAGATTATCCTGCTTTAACTTGATAGTAAATTATTAGCAAAACTCCATATGTCAATAACAGATTGACAGGAGAGGGGATGGTTGTTATTTCATTCTGGGTTATTTAAAACAATGTATTTGCTGGCACACTGTATAGATTAAAAGTTATGGTTTCTTATTTAAACTAAACTTGTGTGTAACATGACACAACAAACACTAACATTGAAAGATACATTTGTTTGTGAGATGGATATTCCCCTCAATACAATAATTAGGTAGGTCACTAA